CTCCGCAACATGAAATACTATACTATTCATGTGGACGCTTTACTTTTTGCAGCAGTTTTTTTATGTTTTTTTAAGATTCAGGGAGAAGCGCCGGGAGGGTAGAAGCTCTCTCTGGGAATGCCTAGGGAATCTTGGCGAAATCCTGGAAAAGAATCTAACAAAGTGTGAATTTGTAGCAATAAAGCACAATACTACAAATCAAACTTCATTTTTGATAAGCTACTTGTTCGAAAGGCTTTTATGATATTTTGCTTTTTGAGATCCATCCTGGACCATGCAGCTCGTTGGTTGTGCCACCACCTGGTGCTGGCTACAGTTATACATATTTATTTATTTATTTATTCCATGAGGTATCTCATGTGATAAGAAAAAAGAAGAAGGAAATCGTTGAATAAGTTGTAGTTTTTTGAAGTTTTCAATAGTTCCATTAAAAAGTATCACATCAGAGCTCGTTGTTCCTTAGGGTTAGCTCGCAGTTTCCCGTTGACAAGGCGAATTCCTTCTCTCGATGGCAAAGTATTATCGAGTTTCTATTTTAAGCCTGGATTTTTCTATATTCGGCGAAAAAGGACGTCGATCTCAAAATGAAACCTTCCCAAGTGAACTGACGTCAGCAGGCTTCCTTATTCCTTTTATAGTATATTCCTTCTCTTTGACAACTGCTCTTGACTTCCCATATCGCCATTTCCTTCAAGGTATAGAGTTCAGTTTTTAGTTTCCAACCTTTCAGGTCGGATTGTTGACTAGGATACTAGAAAAGAAGCTTAATCCCGTCTCAAAAGTTTCATATTGTAGTTTATTACTGCAATTGACTACAAACTTATGAAATTCGATATTCCTGCATCTGTAATCGAAGGCTGGGATTTAATTGCCATCAACTTGCTGTTGTGAACACTGGAAGTAATCTCCCACGCATTCTCCATCGTTCATCCATGTTTCTCCCGGAATTTTTCGGAAATGTTCCAAATTCTACTTTTTTTCTTTCTTAACCTTCTGAATGATGAACATCGTTCTTCTCCAAGACTTCCCATGACAACGGAGTCAAACTCAGGGGGATCCACACCAACGTCCTTCTCCCTTCTCTTCGTTGGAAAGGTCCATGGCGATTTCCTTTGCGTTCCGTGAACTAGCGTCATTTTTCCTATGTGATTGTCTATGAACTGCTTCGGTCACAGCTCTGGAATCTTATGGGACCGTCCATATAACCGCACTTGCAGTTCGTTTCTGTCCTGTTCAGACGCGCCTAAGTACAAAATTATGGAATGGACGAGAATGTGATGACAGAAGTTGCATGGAAAGGGTATTTGGACGAGCTGTTCGGAGAAGCGCGCCATTGCATACAGAGGGTTGCAGTAACCTGGCTGCGCGCAAGGTGTGGGTCCCGGTGCGAACGGTGCAACCTCTGGAGCTTTCACAACGCTTTGAGAACTAATATGCCTTATATGATACGTTGTTTTAGTTGGTTCGAAGCCCTTATACGCCCTATCTTAGCCGCTTTTCGAACCGGCAGCTCTCCTAGGCCTTCGTGGGGAATCACAGGTTCATAAAAGGGACTGATTTCAGAAACCATTCTGTGAGCTGTGCCTTTAACCTACTATCCCCAAGTATCAGCGTATCAGCACGCCCCCTCAAAAGGTGACAAGGCTCAAAATGCTGGTTACCACTGAGGGATCTGAGGTCTTCGTCAACACATCGACTAAATGGAGCAAGGGATCTGCCCTGGCTTTCATTGTCATCGCGAAGGTTGGAGAGACCTCCACCCTCTTATTCGCATCTCCTAGGACAGCATAGATTCTGGTTTGACCCTTGTCCTCAAGACATCGGTCTGCAGCCCTCGATGAGCAGGTCTGTTCCCAGCTTCATGATTTTTTAGCGTTTTTGGGCAATAATGAGGCATCTACTATTTTTTCGATTACATAATGAACATGTCTGCAAACTTTTTGTTCATTCCTACTGCATACATCCAAGCGATTTTGATGACTATGAATCGCATATCATTTCGGAGAGCCTGTGAGCATCTGGAAGAAGCATCAAAGACCTCTCTCCTCAGACTATTCATGAATCTATGATAGCAATTGTCTAGTTATTAGTTGCTGCAATGGCCTTCTGCAGAAGCAGCCGGTCTGCTCCATGTTGAGCTTTGCTCCATTACCTTTGAAGTAGTCGTATCTGAAGAAAAACAAGTTATTCTTTCATCGCACTGTTCTTGGACGTATTTTCTCCCAATTCAGCGAAATTGCACGTTTGAAAAGAAATTGACGTAGTTTATGTCCTGATCTCATAATCTTTAACGCTTNTCAAGTTCATTTAAACTAATTTGTTTTACGAAACGGAACAGTGTATCACAGAGCCAGTCCCTGAGAAGCTCTTAATGAAATATCGGTCTTCTCCAGCCTGCGATTGGTTGGTTATTCACGTCAGCCAATCACAGACACTTATTCCAGGCTCGACATTGCTCTTTCATTATCAGGGAAGATGCTTTATATAAATTGATGCTAAGTGATAGAAAACGATTGTTAGTGATATTTTCGAAAGAAATTATTTGTTTCCCATTACTATACATAGTTGTGGTTGATTAAAGCAGTGAAAGCAAGTGGATGAGAAGAAATGTGCTCTAAATGACTGGAAACTCTTCTTTGAAACACATTTGGGCTTCAGGCCTGAAAATCAAGAGAAACCCGCTCCAGCATATGGGTCTTTAGGATTTTTTACTTTTGGCACATGATACGTTCCAGATGTTTGCGGTAAAAACAATAATTTAATTATAGAAAAACAAGATTGCTCGTCTCCGTTTTTAATAAAATCACCAGTCAGTAGTTTTCAGCTGTCCGTTAATTGTTTGACCATGAAATTTTAATGCCCAGAGCCAAACTTGAGTGTTCAGTCATTTTGGTATCAATCACAGCTATCAATTATTTTTCGCCAGACCGCTGCCGCGCTTTCGTTAATCCGTTTATTTCCGGGAATTAATGAGAAAATATTTCTGGGAATTCATGAGAAAAAAAAACATGGAATATTTCAGCAATTCTCCGATGTAAGAGCTCAAGAAATTTTGATTTTTTTTTTGTGTTTTATAGGATTTTGTAAATTATATAGTCCAGAGTTCAGTATCGAACAAAAATTCATCAGGGTGTTGGATGGACAAAGGTTTCCGGATTAGCGAGCATTTCATCTCTTAGCGATATTCACAGCATTGAATCAGTAAGTAACAAAGACCACAAAGCAGTTAATGGCAAGACTATCGCATCAATGAACACTACACCTCCTTTCAGTACCCTAGTAGTAATGACTAACTAAGTAACAAAGTTCACTATTAGTTATGACAGAGTTATCGCCTCGTTGAACACCAAATCTCTTATCAACTATCTATGTAGCATTGACTCAGTAAGCATCAAAGTCCTTGAAGCAGTTAGTTCTGACTATACCCGTATTTTTTACAAAAATGGGAAATAAATACTAAATTTAGAAGGGAGAACTTCAAGTTTTACAGCTTTTGATTTACAGATTTGTAAGATGTTGTTTTTATGTATAGATTTTATACATAGTTAACACCTGTATTGGTGAAAGTACCTCCCAAAATATCTTCGACCCTTGACTTTTTATACTTTCAATCATTTTTTATTTCTTAATTCAGTACTTAATGAATCATTAAAGGTAATTATGACAGTGATAGTATGATATTAAAATATCATGATAAGAGATTAGATTATTATCATGGTATTAATCTATCTCGGTGGCCGGAAAGCACGACAACGGGTTTGAGTCCCGTCCGAGGCCAAATTTTTGCCAACGAATCGCCATTCTCGTGAGCCAATACTTTATAGTGAACTTTTGGTTGAATGAATTTTTCTAAAATTTGATCCCTGAGATGTTTCCATCTGACTCCCTCTGGACCATCTGCTGTCCCATTATTGCTATAATATACAGCTGAGGTCCAAATAAGGTCCATGATAAGTTCAGTGGAAGAAGATTACTTCATGAAGTGCAAGTTGAGTTCTTCGAAGACTTAAAGTAAAAGTAAATCTCTGTACATTGGCTAGCATTTTTATGATTTTTTCGGTCTTCTGAATTTTTCGACTAATTTTGTATTTAGTTCAGCTCAGGGTTTTAAAAACGGGAAAAGCTAAAGAATACCGGGTAAGATGAGCATTGGAGTAGAAAGTCTGACTTTTAATCGACTTCTAGCGAAAACGTAATGACAAGTGAGTTCGAATCGTGGATTTTTCGCTTTCCAAACATTAAAGACAGGGGAGACGGTTACTCAAACTCCCCTTTCAATCAATCCGAACAAAACGCTCTTAAGGCTTAATGTTGTTGAAAGTTGCTGGATGCTTGCCTTTTGCTCTTTTCATTTCTCTACAAAACGATAACCCTCGTGCCTATAAACCGAAGATTATCCCCGGAAATGCGGTAGTGGAAACTAGTAAAAGGTATCAAAGCTAACCTTTTTTGTCGAAATAGGTCCAGCGTAGCATGATTGACTTATCTACAATTCGTAATATAATTATTAACTATTTCTCTCTAGACTACGAATTCATGTCAGGCTATTGAACTCCTCACGAAGGGACCTTGCAGCGTGATAAATTATTGAATTTTTAAAAAAGGCATTCCAAAATATTTTATTGCCCTCAGGATGCAAAAAGACCACCCTTTGACCAGTTAAGAATACTCTAATAGTTATGCAGCGCTGACCAAAACAGTAAAGTACAAAATGTTTCTAGAAATAAAGAAAGATAATAGAGTAACAAATAATACAATTTCTCGTATCCATACTCCACGAATACCCCTAGGATTTTCCTGTTCTCCCTTCTCTCAGAGTGTCAACTACTCAACAGGGCTTGGTGCTGACCAGAATCTTTTCCAAAACTCTTATTGATCTAATAATCTAATAATCTACTGATCTAATAATGATAATAACATCTATATACATACTGTATGTATTACTATTGTAAACTATATGTATGTAATATTGATATTTTCTTTCATCTTGGAGAGCAAATCTACTGGATAATCAAAAAAAAAAGAATCTTCAGAGATCATCTTCAGCCTATTCAATCAATTGCGCGCTCCTATCGCTTTCGTGATGACTATTTGGGTTCAAATATAGTAAATTAAATATATTTTAGTAAAAAATAAGGGTAACTCCACACACTGTGAATAATTGTAACTCAATACTTTCTCTCTTGAAAATGCGCCAGTACCAGATAGCTAAAGAAGAAGAGATAGCAGTAACCATTACTTTTTTTTCAGAAAAGATTCGATTTCGAGATTCGATTGAACCATGCCTTACTTACTGCAATAAACTAGTAATATGAGATGAAACTTATGCAGACTCAGCGCTCATCCCATCTGCTCAATCTCCTACAAGTACATCCAAAGTAGTTGTCATATTTCAGGCCCGTATGCTGGTCAACCTGGTGTGCTGCCTGGCCGCGGTACTTGGTATACCGGCAAATCTCTTCGTCTTGATTGCAATTTTCTATTTCCGGTCTGTTTTCAACCAGATTCTTTTTCTCTTTGAAACCACTTTGATTTGTTGTTGTTGACAAAACTGTCACTTTTTGTTTTTCTAAACAAAGTTCAACTTGTCGCTATTACTCAGTCATTTCCTCGTAACAGATTTCGAAATATTGTCGAACCATCTATCGTATCTGACTCAATACTGGAGTAATCTATAGTTCCAAAATGTAACCAGCGGATTCTGTTGCTGTTCTGAGCAGGGAATCTGAGTCACCAAGTATTCCAAGATCTCATGGTATCCGAAAAACCGATAGCCGTAAAATCGCGCCTTCTGTTCAGGCTATTAATCTTTCATTATGAGTAATTTTATGTTTTTCTTTGACCAACTAGACAGATATTCCGAGCCGCCGAAACGCATAGATGAAACCAATCGACTATTCCTACTAGTAACACCCCTGTTACATTTCCTGAGGGGATCAAGATATTTTTCGAGTCACCATTGATTGGCATTCGAAGGGTGAAGAAGGCTTTTTACTCCGTGGCTACATTTCGTGACATGCACGCGAGCGGTTGACCCCCCTGTTGCGAGTACGGTCGACCCTGGTTTCTCCTATAGCTGCTGACCTTCTGGAGCATGCAGCTGATCTAGTCCCAAAACACTGTCAGGTTCAATGTCATGTGACATTTAAGTAGGGCCAGTAAAAGAAAAGAGTATATACCGTAATTTCCTGACAAAATACATCAATACACATAAATACTGCAATAATACAATAAAAATATACATTTTCTTATAGGGACATGCGAACAATATCCAATATTTATATTGGAAATCTTGCTGTAGCTGATTTACTATTTCTCGCTGGCACTCCGATCGTTATCACACAATCTATAACAAGAGATTGGAATTTTGGAAGTGTTGTATGCAAGGGTTTCGTCACTGGAAACGGGGTAAGCTGTTTCATATTCCTGAACGAATACTATTGTAACGGTGGTACCAGTTGTGAGGTTTGGGTTGCTAAAGGGAGGCAGGCCTGTGATTGGTGGACGTACAAGCCACCAATCACAGACCTGACTCCGTTTAGCGACCCATAGTGAGGTCTCTGATTGGTGGCTATGTACGCCCACCAATCACATTTTTTCTGTCTTCTCATTCGGCAACTTTCACATTTGCTTTAGACCCTGCATATGGAATAATAGAGATTAGGAGTTTCTGGAAAAAACTGTTTAAACTGTAAATTTTCAGATTTCACAGTTCGCTTCAGCGATGTTCATCGCAGTACTATCATTGGATCGTTTTTTGGCCGTATGTCGCCCAACTCGGGCCTCAGTACTGCGAACTCGCCGAGCTGCTATTGCTGCCGTCGTTTTTGCTTGGGCCATCGTAATTTTGGAGATCACGCCACTATTCATGTTTGTGAAGCTCATAAAGAGTTCTAGTAAGTCTATCACTGTCTATGAACTTCCTTTAGGCAGTATTACTTTACTTGTTTTTTCATCTCAGATTACGAACAAGTTGAAGTCGTGTATCCGACCAAGTAACAGTCATTGTTTACGTAGCGCAAAATATGGCATTAAAAATTTTGATACAACAAAGTAAAGTAAAGTATAGTTCTTCGAGGAAAAAGAGGAACTGACAAGGAGATATCTCCCTGGCATTCATACTTATCCTTTTCAGGTTCACCCGGTGAAGGAGGAAGACATATGTGTTTGCTAGTGACCGAAGAGGATCGGGAGCTAGATGGCGAAAGTGCCGGTGCTGAACGGGAGACACTGTTTTCGCGGAAGTATGTACTTTAAAAAATCATTAAAATAAGACACTTGGTACCTATTTGTAATGAAGAAAAATCAATTTGGAAAAGCAAGACACGAAGTAACCAATCGAGCCCGAGTATCAAGCTAGAACTCGGTCCAAGGGTTCCATTGACAACATTGTCCAGAGCTACCGCAGGGCCGATGGTTAGGTTTTTTCGAGAAAATCCCGGAAGGAAGCCAATGAAATGGTTCGTATTCCCGAACAAAAGGAATTCGTAGGCATTCATGTGCTTCGAGGATGGCTTGAGATATTACCAGCCCTCAACGATTATCAATGGGACACGCATACGGGCAATCCACCTCAAAAAGAATGGAAAGGTATGCTTACCATCCAGATTGACCAGAGAGTCCTCTGGGCATTTAACCGTACCAGGAGATTTATGCTGAATATCTATCTAATATAGAAATACTGTAGAATACTGTAGAAAATGGTAGGACCCCTATCCTCCTGTTACTTTTTGAGCGACAGCCAGGCAGTACGTAAAGCCTGTGTTACCTAGAAGGAGCAGATCTCCCTCTGGAGCAGTCCACGCCCTTGTGAACGAGAATCGAAAAAGTTTTTGCCTTCATACATTACCATTTTCAAATAACTGTAACTGTACTCGATTACTAGAGAGTAACTTGTTTAGGTTCTTTACAACATACACTTTCACATTGAGTTATCTACTACCATTAATTGCCATATGGATTTTCTATGCGAAAATCATACGTAAACTTTGGCAACGACGTCATCGAATGCATCTGAAGCGAAAGATGTCGAAGCGAAAAACTACAAAGGTTTGTTGACATCTTATGAAAATGCGTCATTTGATGTAAATTTTCTCATAGCATTTCATGCAAATGGAGTAAACATGTTTATTATTGACATTATGGCCTGATAGTCACCAATTCGATGCGGTTTCAGGGATTCATGACTTTCAAAATTAGGGAAATGTGACCGTCATCGGGAAGAGCTAGGAGCACATTTTTTTTATCACCTAGTATCAAGTTGGAATAAGGAAAAAAATCTGATGTTCGAAATCCTTGACATGATTTCCACATGAGGAATTTTAGAAACCAGACTGCACTCAATTACTGGTTTACAATTAGACAGATCTATACTGTTGTGGGGTGGAGCTGCTTGTTTACAGTATTGTTTACGTATTCTTACTCTAATTTATTCCCCCTTACCATTAATAGCTATTTTGTCTTATTTATAGCATCGCTTACAGGTTACCATTATGGGTCTTTCGATTGTCATATCCTATACACTCTGCTGGTTACCATATTGGTTAATACAGTGGTCCATAGCACTGAATATTGGGTGGAATAGGTAATAATTTATTCTCTTTACATCTAACACAAGTTGAAAGAGTTAATTGTAGGCCTCGCTTTATTAAATTATTTTTTTAGGAATTTATCAATTCTAACGTGTGCATCATATGCAGCATTTGCATTACTATACATTAATCGTGCTGTGAATCCCTTCATATACGTGTTCCTGTCGGAATCATTCAAACGAAATGTAAGTCGTACTTACTTGAAATGAGTAACTCTAAGTAGAAATGAAAAGAAAATAAGTCAAATTCCTTCGACCCGATGCCGTCACACAGTACGGAGGTAGTGTAGTGGCGACTGGCGCATTATCACACACGCATGGTCCATGGATCCAACCTTGCATCTACAATCACCTAGGCCAGTCAGGCCTTTCATTTATACCAGGTCATAAATGGCACCAGACCTGTCTGAGAGGATGAAAGCAATGACTTGTACGTACATGTCATTGTATAGCCCACGTACGCACTCAACCGACACTATTAATTTGAATGAAAGTTGAATGCGGGGCACATTCTAATAAAGGGATTGATAAATGCCAGGGGCCTCGGACTATTATTTTCACGCCTTAACGTAGCAAGACTGATATTTTTGACAGCTTTAAGGGTAGCAAAACTTATGTTTATGTACTGTTTACCACTGCGGAGTATGGCCGGTACCAGACANGTCATTGTATAGCCCACATACGCAGTCAACCGACACTATGAATCTGAATGGAAGTTGAATGCGGGGCACATTCTAATAAAGGGATTGGTCCAGAAGCCTCGGACTTTTATTGTCACGCACTAAATTAGCAAGAGTGATATTTTTGACAGCTTTAAGGGTAGCAAAACTTATGTTTATGTACTGTTTACCACTGCGGAGTATGGCCGGTACCAGACAGCCCCGCCTACTCAGTGAATAAGATCTTCTTGGCATCGATCTCAACGAACTCGTACCATGTTTCCGCTGTCATACCACATTGAATTTTCTCAAGTTCCATCACTATACTCTTCAATTGGGTATAGTGATGTGAATGCGTCGGTAGACGGACCACTTTGGGATTCAGGAAAGCAAAGGGTAAGAATCGCCATTGACAATTTCTTGATGACCTTTTGAGATCGAACTTGATCCGAATCGCCTGCGACAGAATTCATCGAACCAGACTTTGAAGAAGACTTTTTGAATATCCACCAGATGTGTGCATACTGAACAAGTGTTTTTCAGTAGAAGAACAATGCTCAAGTATGACTATCGAGCCTGGGTTGCCCACATGAAGCACCACATGCATATGGGAAACATTTTTCGAAAGCGTCTGTCATTGCCAACGTGGCCTGGTGATGTAGATAGAAACTTCTTCAGAGAAATCTGTCAGACACACGACTCACATTGGCATACTCACAGGGATATGCCGACGAATTTTTTCAAAATCCCATTAATTCATTCACATAACTTCACTCACCACAAGGTTTCATGTTACAACGCAGCAAAGGGTCATTTTCCAAAAATGTTTTGTTGTGATAAAATGCCAAAGACCCAGAATGCAACTATACATTCATGTTGTTGTTGAAAAAAAGGAGACAAGTTCTTTTGTTTCCTGTCTGCTGTGTGGTGCTGCCAATTCTTACAGTTTGAAAGTTAAAACCACTTCCCACCTTCATGATTAGCAGGGAAGCAGGTCAATACCTTCAGAAGCTAGCCATAACCGACGTAATAGTCAAAAAACCGTGGCCAATCCTAATTTTTTGCCAATACTGTAATTTTCTTTGCTAGTGCTCTGAATTCTCTCAAAAGCTGATGCTGTACATGTCTGATGAAAGATGGGTGCTGCCTATGAAGTACAGTTAAGAGATCGTAATAGTATGGCAGTTCCCAAGATTTCAACTAATACTTAGGCGGAGGTGGTGCAATGGCAAGTGGGTCACGATCACGGACGTATGGTCACGGGTTCGAGTCCCGTATCCATGTTCGATGTAACCTACCAGGCCTTACATCCCTTCGGGGTCGGTTAATTGATACCAGACTTGTCTAGAAAGATGAGAAGCGCGGACTAGTACATTGGCTGGCCAACGCAAATCATTGTATAGGCCACGTACGCCTTCAGTACACCCAGGAGGCAATACGATTGTAAATGGAATTCCAACACGGGGTGCATCCCTCAGATGGGCTTGGTTGGTGCCCCAAAACTTAACCCTTTTAAACTTTGATTATAACATCTTATGCCTTAGGAACATTAAGTGAATATTCACCAACTTTGAAAGTGTCTCCACAGTACTGCCTCTGCTCCCTTCTACTGAAAACACAGGATTCCCTCAATAAAAAATGTTATGAGAACCACTTCCACCCGACCAGTTTTAAATGTAAACTGATCCAACCTTTGAAGCTCGAACTTCGACACTTGCCAATTCCCCCAAACTTGTTAGAGTCCAACGAATCCATACTTCTTGCCTTTCTTTTTTAATTCGAACATGTGCGATTCCAATAAGAGTTGGTTTCCTCGAAATTTATCATAAATTCTACCTTCATTGATTTTTTGGTTTCAGGTTTCCGAATTGGTTTTGAAAAATTCAAGTGTACAACATAAGCATAGTAATTCCGCGACCGTCAAAATGCTACCTCAACAAATCAACGAAGGCACGGAATCTGTGTGATCAACGTACTGCTTGTATTTATATGTGTAATAAAAATTTTGTTTACATTTAAATCTGTTTGAACAACAACACATCAATCCGGATTTCAGACATCTTCATTCAAAAATTGTTTCCATACCCGCGGAAGCTAGCTCTCAATCAAGACAATTCACATGGCTGAATCGGTGCAAGAAAGATCTACGATGACGTCACAATATGGAAATACTTTTAGAAACAATAATCTGAACATACTATAATAACTATTATAAACTCTTTGTGAGCTAAAAAACAGCTAAACTCTGAAAAAGAAAATTGAAAGTAGGTGGACGTTAGCGATAGACACCAGATTTCGAGCGTGCGAATGAATTGGTAGAGACATGCCACCTGTGTCGCTATGCGAATGATTTCATCTTTTTNTTTTTCATTTCCTTTTTCCTGATCCTTCTTCAATCTTGGCCAGTTCTCAAGCTGAAATCGTGCTAAACACGGCGACACAGGCTTAAAACAGTGAAGAATGTCTATTAGGAAACCTAGGACGGAATAAAACGGCACACCGGTAGTGCGGAGAGAGAAGAAAAAAGAATAATACCGGATGACAAACACCCAGATTAATCGTCGTAATCATTTAGAAAGAGAACGGGTTTAAAAATGGACCATAACCATTTCTGTTTTGACAATAATCACCCATAGCGACTCGTTCACACAACTGAATAGAAGCGAGCGATACGCGCCGCAACACACGCACGCACGCGTAGCAGATGTTCAAAACGCGCGCCAACGACGAGCATGCGCTACAAACTATCGCACGCGCACGCACGCACGCACGTTGTCGCTCGTGTCGCTCACCTTACACAGCGTTGCTAGCAATTGTTGCCTACAGCGCAAAAAACAAACGAAAATTCTGCACGGAATAGCGAACCGTATAACTACCGTAAAATCATGATACCCTTTGAGATAAGCTAATATATAAACGTATTAAAACATCTCGAATACAATATCAAGATACGACGGACGACTAGCGGACTGCTCAAGGGTAGATCATCAGAAACCAGCGAAAAAGAAGCGATTTTTAATGATAGCGATCACTAGAAATTCAGGATTAACAGCATCTACCTTTACCGCTAACTTATAGAAGAAAAAAAAAACGTGAATAAAGTTTTTCTGAAAAATCTCTCGAATCGGATCGAATGTTCTCGAATGCACTCTGGTTTATTCGAGGAAAAAGTCGAGAGCTGAGGCTTGTTAGAAAGCTGTTCTGAACACCTGTAGGTGCCCACAGGATGCCCAGGAAGATGGATTGTTAAGAATTGACGTAGCCCCCTTGGTAAAAAGCGAAACTTTGGAGAGGAGAGAAAGTGGACGGGAGTGCGCTCTGGTGAGGTTTGTACGATGGGGTGGTGAGCTGACTTGAAAAAAAAATCAGTGTGACAGTAGAAGACGTCGCTGTAAGTCGGATCGGATATTTTGTGATCCGAGATGATTCAGATGATGAACACGCAAAAGCATCGAAGGACGTCGTTGATGTTAGTAACGAGTTGACGCCCGTCAGTTATCGTCAGCGTCGACCATTAGCCCGTGAGCGCATTTCTAAAGTAATACTGGATTACTTTGAAAAAAATTTGGATCAAAAAAGAATTAATTTGACAAATAACTAAGTGGGAATAAGCTCTCCAAACACCAAACAAGACAAAACGGAGGAGAGGGGGAGAGGGTAGGTGAAAGTCAGTTTGGTCTGTTGTTTGAAGAGGTCGAGTTCAGTGAATTCAGTGAACAACTTCACAATTGGAAATCGAAGCCAACACCTTTCCTGTTACAGTTTTTCATGAAAATTGTAATTGGAGAGAATCACATTTATTATTTGCTCAATCTATGATTCCCCTTCTTCGTTTGACCGTCTTCAGAAAGTGGAGGGAAAATAAAAAGAGGTGGAACTTGAAGATAATGATTGAAGTTCTCAGTCATCACCTTTCCAATGGATAGAGAGATTTCGATAAGAAAAAGGGTATATGGAAAGCAAATATACCGCCCTATCAAGAAATGTCAGTTGAAGATTCTCAGTTTTAGCATATTTGTAAACAGATTACTGTTGAATTATAGAAACAAGAGACAGTTGCTTTACAACGTCACTTTCAAAAGTACTTATATCAAGTTACTATTTTGGTCCAGCCTTCGTTCCTACCTCCCTTATCTACAATTGAACATAGGCCATAAAATGCCTAAAATCCGTTAAATGTAGCCAATACATAGTCATAGGCAAAAGTCAAACTCGCAAGTGTGTTTACGGGCGGATGGGCTTACCCATTACGCTACAGGAATGAGAATCTTGCATTTGGTGATTAGCCAGCAAATATATGTACGAATTAGAGAATCTCATACCCAACGTGGGTCGCAATGGAAGAATACTTACCTTTGAAAGAGCTAGGAGAAAGAAGTGGACGCTTTTGAGAACCATAATACACATAGAGCAGTAAAATCCCTGAAATCGCGATAGCTTGGGCAGTCGAAGTATCTTCAAGAGTAACAATAAAATGGGCAGTGGTAAAAGGTAGGGCACAGAGTGGTGGACATGTACAGAAAATACTCTGATCCTTACTCTATCGGAGTCATTGTAAGCACAGAAGACATCGAAGAAGGTTGGTGGCCCTTCCAGGGAAAGAGGGCCCTGACGATAGAAATATGC